CCCGGCTGCGCTGCACCTGCTCGTCAGGTAGGTCCCGGGAAGCGGGTCCCGGGGTCCAGCGGCACGCTCTCAGGCCTCGAGACGTTTGCTGCGGGGCCGCCGAGGAGGCCCGCTTTGCGTGTGCGGCACACGCAGTTTTTTGTGTGCACGCCGGGCCGGGCACAGCCGAGCACCAAGGGCTCTTGCTCCCTGGGCTGCGGCGGCTGCTAGGAACAGAACCACTCGCCTCCTGGCCGGATGTTCCTGCGGGAGGTGGGGCAAGGTTGCCTGGGTGACTTGGCTCCCCGGTGCCAGCCCCGGGCAGGGTTACCACTCACACAGCAGTTTCAGGAGGGAGGCAGCTGGGCTTGGGTGGACCAGACTTCTTGCACTGCACCCCGCCTTGTGGATTTGTTTCACTGGCTGGGGACGTGGGAAGTTGCATCAGTGCCCAGGGCGGCCGGCGGGCAGGACCAGCCTGACGGGTGTGCCTGCAGCTGGAGCGCCATGCTGGGAGCCTTACTCACGCTTGGTTGGGCCTGGGGACCTGACATGGTCTGACCTGCCTGCCCCTCCCGGTGGAGGATCCGGAGGCTCCTGGCAGCCGGGAGGGTGCCCAGGGAGTGGGGAGTGGGGTCCAGCCAGAGGGAAGGGGCCCTAGGGTGTGGCCAGCTGGCACAGGCAGGTCAGATGTGACAGAGCCTGTGTCACGAGAGGCCAGTCCGAGGGCGGCCTGGGCGCCGGCAGATGCGCTCGTGTCCGTCCTGGGTGTGGCCAGCGCGTGCTGTGACGCCTTCTGGCCCGCTGACTTTCTCTGAACATCCAGGCGGCCTCTATCCCAGACTACCGGGGCCCTAATGGAGTGTGGACGTTGCTGCAGAAAGGGAGAAGTGTGAGGTGAGCACCAGTGTGGCCCCGGGCTGAGCTGGGCTGGGCCTGGCGCGGCCCTCACCTGCCCCTCTCTGCTGGCAGCGCCGCTGACCTGAGCCAGGCTGAGCCCACCCTCACCCACATGAGCATCGCACACCTGCACGAGCAGAAGCTGGTAAGGGCAGCTGTGGTGGGTGGCGGGGCCTGGACGCCGAGGCTCTGGCCACAGCCCGGCCCCGCGCACCAGGGGCCCCGCTCGGGGCGCAGACGCCTCCCCGAGAGCAGCTGCTGCCCGCCAGGTCCTAGCCCCCAGCCCCTGCCCTTACGCCGCTTCGGCACCCCCTGAGCCCGGGGCGGCGCCCACAGGCCCCCTGGGCAGAGTCCTGCACCGCTGACTGGCCCCGGCCCCAGGTGCAGCACGTGGTGTCTCAGAACTGCGACGGGCTCCACCTGCGCAGCGGGCTGCCCCGCGCCGCCATCTCCGAGCTGCACGGGAACATGTACATCGAGGTGAGGCGGCACCTGCGCGGGGCGGGGGCGGGGGCGGCCGGCCCGGCACTCACGCGCGTCTGCCCTCAGGTGTGCACCGCCTGCACCCCCAACAGGGAGTACGTGCGAGTGTTCGATGTGACCGAGCGCACCGCCCTCCACCGGCACCAGACGGGCCGAGCCTGCCACGAGTGCGGGGCGCCGCTGCGGGACACCATCGTGCACTTTGGGGAGAGGGGCACGCTGGGGCAACCGCTCAACTGGGGCGCGGCCACCCAGGCGGCCAACAGGGCCGACGCCATCCTGTGCTTAGGCTCCAGCTTGAAGGTGCGTGCAGTGGGCAGGGCGGGCGGGCCTGCCCCAGACCCAGCCCTGTGGCGTGTCCCCTGCCCGGGCTGACCTCCCATCCCTGCAGGTGCTGAAGAAGTACCCGCGTCTCTGGTGCATGGCCAAGCCCCCCAGCCGGCGGCCCAAGCTGTACATCGTCAACCTGCAGGTAGTGCAGACTCGCCGCGGCCGGCCCCAGGGACCTGGCCTCAGAGGCGCCAGGGCTCACGGGAGGAGCACGGGACTGCCCTCACCCGACCTCCTCCCCTCCCCAGTGGACCCCGAAGGACGATGGGGCCGCCCTGAAGCTCCACGGGAAGTGTGATGACGTCATGCGACTCCTCATGGGCGAACTGGGCCTGGAGATCCCCCCCTACAGCAGGTGAGGGAGGGGCCCGGTGCCCCCGTCCCTGCACCCGTCTTCTCTTACCACCTGCGTGTGACGCTGCACGGAGGCGTGGGAGGCCCGGGCGCGCGGGACGCCCGCAGGCGGGGCCGCCTCTGCCGCTGCCCGTGGGGAAGGATGCCCTCGCGAGGCCTCACCCGCTGCCTGGCGCACCGGGCCCGGTGGCTGGTGTAGGTTGGGGACGCGACGCTGCCTTGCCAGGGAACTTGTGGTGTGGGACGTGGCGTGCGTACCGCGTGAAAAGTTTACACTTTCTTTCTCTGTGAATTTTCAGGGTCTTAGAGGGGAAATCAGTAACTTCTTTTAATCAAAGGGTTCAAGAATTAAGGATCCCTGCGCCTCTGGGCCTGGCAATTCTTGTATGTTGTGTGTGGTGTCTGTGGTGTGGCTCTGCGCATCGCACCTTTCGTTTCGCATTGACTAGCTCATGTCCCTTCTCGGTGTGCGTCTGTGTCTTGCGTTATGACTTGTGATTCTACATCTCAGACACATGACCTCGCGGTGTGCTGTGGCCGCGCGGGCCTTCCCTCGAGTCTCTGGCCCGGGAAGGGGAGAGGGTCGCCCCCGCCCCGGCCTGCCGGCCACAGCTGGGGCCCAG